GTATATTCGTTTCCCCTGATTTTAATGGTACAATTAATTTCCTTTCATCATTAATTTTTAAAACGTCAAAACGTTTTAATCGTCTGTAATCCAAAGGTGTGTTGCACTTAGTTTTAGCAGAAACCACTTCAGAAAGTATTTTAGAGTACTTTTCTTGAGAAAAATAAAAACAATTGTCTTCTCGTTTACCCGCAATTAATCCATTTAACTTTTCAAGAAAAAGATTACGATTTACTGCAGTATCCATTCAGTATAAATTACGGTATTGGAAAAAAATTAAGAAAACGTTGCTCGCATTATCAAAGCTTGCATAAGATTGACAAAGCTGACTGACTCCACGCAGAACACAGGATTTGGCGGGAGAGAGCCAGTCGCTTCTTCGTCGGCTCCTCTCTTTTGGACCTCCACCAGAGCATATCTGTGATTGTCGACATACACCGGTGAGGGTCCGAATGTACAAGAATGTAATAAAATATTCGGTCTTTCATCGACGTATTTAGTATATGTCCATATTCTCCAATTTCGGTCTTTCACGGTAACATATAAAATTACACGTTATATGGCAGATACTCTACATCAAAAGTGTGGCAGTAATAATTAAATTTCTAGGAAGATCACTAAATTTAAAAAAAAATCTACTAATTTCTAATAATTTGTAATTAATTTAATAATTTCTTTTTTTAAGTACGATGATATTTGATACTATTCGCGCCAAAATCTTTAAAAAACGGCACATGCGCAGTATCTCTTCCTTGTATGCACGTGCGTGCGAATGAAGCTTAAAATAATAGGTGTAACGGAAGGTCTCTCGAGTGTTTCCGCACGTAATAATACTAAGCCCTTCCTGCACTTCACACTTAGTATATTGTGCCATAAAAATGTGGATAATCTTGATTATTCCCTAGATTATAGAAACTTTTAGATGTTTAAATCTCAGTACACTCAAATATCTGTATTTCAATGTACTTAGATCTCCAAATAGTCGAACTTCAAATCCCTAAATCCCCAAGTTTGGTTATTATCAAATTTCTACAATCCCTAGGGAAATCCCTAGACAAACAAAACCCTACATCCCCAAATTTCCAGATTTCCAAATCTCTAAACATTCAAATACCTAAACCTTCAAATCCCTAAATTGTGAAATTCCTAGCTCTGCAAATTGATAAATCTTCAAATCCCCAAATCAAGAAATTCTCAAGTACCAAAATATCTAAATCCCCAAATCCCTAGATCTGCAAGTTCCATGAGCCAAAATCCCTATACCTCTAAATCAGTATATCTCCAAATCCCTAAACTTCCAAATCCTTATATTTCTAAATCCCCACATCTCCAAATCCCTGGGTCTCTAAATGCCCATATTTCCAAATCCCTATATCTCTAAATCCCCATATTCCCAAATCACTAATCTTTCAAATCCCTATATCTTCAAATCCCCAATCTTCCAAATCCTTATATCTCCAAATCTCCACATTTTTAAATCCCTATATCTGTAAATCCCCATATCCACAAATCCCCATATCTCCAATTTTCCAAATTTTCCCCATATCTCCAATCTTCCAAATCCCCATATCTCCAAATTTAAAATCCCCATATCCCCATATCCCAAAATCCCAAAATCCCCAAATCCCCATACCCCCAAATCCTCATACCCCCAAATCCCCAAATCGCCAAATCCCAACACCCCAAAATCCTCATATCCCAAAATCCCAAAATCCCAAAATCCCAAAATCCCAAAATCCCAAAATCCCGAAATCCCCAAATCAGCAAATCCCCATATCTCCAAATCTCCATATCTCCAAATCTCCATATCTCCAAATTTCCAAATCCCCAAATCCCCAAATCATCCCCATATCCCCATATCCCCATATCCCAAAATCCTAAAATACCAAAATCCCTAAATCCCCAAATCCCCAAATACCCAAATTTCCAAATCCCCAAATCCCCAAATCTCCAAATCCCAACACCCCGAAATCTCCATATCCCAAAATCCCCACACACTCATCCCCCAAATTCCCAAAACCCTCTATAACCCCCATCTCCCCATTTCCCCTAGTCAAATTCGCCATCTGCATCCCAGCAACCGGGAACACCGAACATAAACATCGAAACGACACAGGCGAATGTTGAAACCAGAAGCAACCGCTCGCGAGGATATTCGAAGAAGGAAGGGCAAGCGTTATCACCGTCGAAGGGAAAGAAAAGGAGAGTAGGGCAAGGGAGGGCAGTAGAAAACGAAAAGGAAGGACACGTCGCCCGATCGAGAGGAAAAGGACGGATATCGGCGCGGCAGTGTGTGCGCAATGGTAGACGGTGTTGCGTGGCTTAGTGTGGAGCGGTATCACGAAGCCGTCGCTTTATATACGTGCGCTGTCGGTGCGCGCGGATAGCGCGCTGGAACGTCGAACGCTATAGGTCGGAGCGCTCGCCACGGGCTGTAGGCTACCCACGTTCGTACGACGAAGAAGCAAACATCGACTGAGAGAGACGGAAACAGCAAGGGACAGAGAGGGACGAAACAGCAAGAGACAGAGAGGGACAGAAACAGCAAGAGACAGAAAGAGAGGGAGATAGAAAGAGAAGGAGAGAGAGGGAGAAGCATAGGCAGAGAGGGAGAGAAGTAGACATAGGGAGAGACGGACAGGGAGCGAAACAAAGATAATAGGGAGAGGGAGACAGATATCAGAAGCGAGGGAGATGAAGCTACAAGAGGAAAAGAGAAAGCAGAACGCTTATGCACCGCTGAATCCACCGCGGACGGCCGCACTCTCACTTTCGCCGGCGCCGATGACGGTTCTCGTCGTCGTCGGCTGATCGCCGTCTCCGACCATCTCGCGAGTTTTCCCCGATCCACGTGATCGATCGAGCAGATCCAGAAGTGCGTAATTGAATGGCCAGACACGAAACTCGAGCAGGGGTTGACGCTCTCGGCCTTCGCGATAAACCGCGGTCAACCGTGGAGGTGGATCGCACCGTCTCCGTCTGAGAGAGGAGAAAAACGAGAGTGAGGAGAGGGGCGAGAGTGACGAGAAGGGAGTGCGTGGGTGGTGGGAGAGAGGGAAAGGTCGGCTCGCGAGGGACTACTCGTATTCCGAGGACTGTTGTTTTCGGTGAACTGCTAAGAAACACTGGTCCACGCGGACCTTGCGTTCCCTCAGCGTACACCCTCACGTGCGTCGGTTTTACGTTGTGTGTTTTCATGTCGACTGTAAGCGCGCGTAAAGTGAGTGATTAGTTCGAAGTGTCGCCGCGAGGGTTTCCGCAGGTGTCACGCCGCCGCGAGACATTGACCGTGACATTCGCGGTGAGTGAGCCGACTTGGATTAACAGCGTGTGTGATTTTTCAAAAGTTACTGGATGTAGACGTGATCGAGGTGCTTTCGTGAATGAAGAGTACACGGGTACACGGATTTTTCAGTGAATACCCGTGACCCGCGGCAGCGGGACAACGAAACAAACGTGGCTCACACGGCGAGGGACAGGGNNNGGCGAGGGACAGGGCCGCCGAACTCCAGGCGGAGGTCAGGAGCGCGATCAGGGTGCTGCACGGATGGTGCCCCAGACCGCCCCAGGGGCACCGCGGTGACACCGTTCTTATGTCACCACAGACACAAATGAGACAAAATCATAGAAACGGAGGACCAAATCAACCACCGCCGGCTACAGTTGTTGTCAGCTCTACGTCCAGCATGAGACCCCCACCGCCGCCGCCGCCACCCCGTGTCAGGGCGTCTAACGAGGGCAAGGGGCACCACGAGGAACCTACTAGCTCCATTCCTGATCTAGGTGAGTTCTATTCCGTTTTTTTTTTAGTGAATCTTCCAGTATTTATTTTTGTTTATATGCGAGTTTTGGGGGTTTCAAGTGGGGTGATAACCTTTTGTTGTTGGTGAAGATAGGATGATGCAATTTTAATTTTTAGGAAGACTTCTCGTATTTTATACTTTGATTTGATGTTTTGTATTTTATACTTTTTATGATTTTATGATTTGATGTTTTATACCTTGAGAAATATGTGAGCTTTTTTCTTTGAGGGTAATTGTTGATATTTATGACACCACCACGTTGGCAACTCATTTTGAGAGAGTTTTAGATTCTTTCTAATATTTTATACTTTGACAAATATTTTTGAATGTTAATTTATTTCTTTGAGGTTCATTTTTAATATATTAATGAGAAACCATCCCCTATTGTTGGCAACTCATTTTGAAAGAGTTTTAGATTCTTCCTAGTATTTTATACTTTGACAAATATTTTTGAATGTTAATTTATTTCTTTGAGGTTCATTTTTAATATATTAATGAGAAACCATCCCCTATTGTTGGCAACTCGTTTTGAAAGAGTTTTAGATTCTTCCTAGTATTTCATACTTTGACAAATATTTTTGAATGTTAGTTCATTTCTTTGGGGTTAATTTTTAATATATTAATGAGAAACCATCCCCTATTGTTGGTAACTCATTTTGAAAGAGTTTTAGATTCTTCCTAGTATTTTATACTTTGACAAATATTTTTGAATGTTAATTTATTTCTTTGGGGTTAATTTTTAATTTCTATGGGAAACTACCCCTTCTGTTACTAATTAAAATACTTGACTGCTGTTTCTAACCTAAGGGTTCCATTTTTATTTTATTTTCTTTTAACAAATATTAGTTTGCTTCTGCTGTTTTACACTTTCATAATATAATTGTATTTATTATGGTTTTTCTTTTGCCAAAGTATTCAAATTTTAAAGAACCCTCAGCATTTAAATTTTAGAAAATCACTGGACCTAAAAATAATATTTCTAACCTCAAAATTTTACAAACCAAAAATTTTTATTTCTCCATATTTGAATCACTGAACAGGATTCTACAAATTTTTTGTTTAAAATATAATAAATTTGGAGTGTGGATATTTTCTAAAAATTTCAAACCTTCATCCCTGAAAATTTGCATCTAAGAAAATGAAGGTTAAATTTAACTTTCAAATAATAAAAATTAAAATAAATATTAAACTTCTCAATTTTCATTCCATAAACATTTTCTCCCAAATTTGAAGGAGTAAAAAATTTCTAATATTTGTCCACTTCGTCTGGGTCAAAATAACCCTTAAGTCCATTAACATTCTCCAAATACCACGTAACAATAATAAAATTGTTAACAAGGACAGAAATTAAAATTAATATCAAACTTCTCACATTTTTTCCTAAGTTTGAAAGAGTAAAAAATTTCTAATATTTGTTCACTTCATCTGGGTCAAAATAACCCCTAAGTCCATTAACATTCTCCAAATATCACGTAACAATAATAAAATTAACAAGGACAAAAATTAAAATTAATATCAAACTTCTCACATTTTTTCCTAAATTTGAAAGAGTAAAAAATTTCTAATGTCTGTTCATTTCATCTGGGTCAAAATCACCCTAAAGACAGTTGATACTCTCCGTGTCACGTAACAATAAATTGTTAACAATTAATATTTTAATCCTGTACATGATGGCGCCCGTTATCAGGATAATTCCAAAGAATCGATAACGCGAATGCAGGCTTAAGATCGTTGCGTTGATGTTATTTATCAGTTCATCTCGCAAATAATACTCGACGATGCTTCGATGCGTTTGCACGCAAAAGGAAAAAAACGGAGCGACTTAGACGAGCCGGTGATTTACTGTTAACGATCGAGCTGATTTGGCCTTTGAGCGGGTAAACAGGAGGCCAACCTTGAACTTTCAACGTATGAGAAATTCATGACTGTCGTGTTGGAGGAAATGTTTTTCCCGAATTTTTGGAATTTTGGAAGGTTTAGGAAGTTCAAAATTATGGTACTTTAAAAGTTTTTAATTTTTTATCACTCAATCACTGGAATTAATTTAATGTCACTAGTTTTGGAATTCTCAAGTTCTCAAGTTTTCAAGTTCTCAAGTTCTCAAGTTTTTAATTCCTTAAATTCTTAAGTTCTCAAGTTTTTAATTCCTTAAATTCTTAAGTTCTCAAATTTCCAAATTTCTAATATTCCAAATTGTGATATTTGCAAGTTCTAAAATTTTCAGTTTCTCAAATTATCAAATTTCTGTTCTCCCAAATTCTAATATTTCCAAATTTCTAAATTACACAATACACAAATTTGCAAGTTTCTAATGGTCCAAATTTTCAGTTTTCTAATTTGACAAATTTCCAAATTTTAATATTCCAAATTTCAGTACTTCCAATTTGTCAAATTTCCGAATTCTCAAATTTCAAGTTCTCGAATTTCACGCTCTCAAATTTCCTTATTTTCAAATTTTCCGACTCTTAAATTTCAAATTCTAAAATTTCTTTATTCTCAAATTTCAAGCTCTCAAATTTCCTTGTTTTCAAATTTTCCGACACTCAAATTTAAAATTTTAAAATTTCCTTAATCTCAAATTTCCTTATTCCCAAATTCTCAAAAACTGAAATCCTCCAAATTCTTCAAATTCTTCAAATTCTTCAAATTCTCCAAATTCTCCAAATTCTCCAAATTCTTCACATTCGTCAAATTCTCCAAATTCTCTAAATTCTCCAAATTCTCCAAATTCTCCAATTCTCGAATTCTCCAAATTCTCCAAATTCTCCAAATTCTCCAAATTCTCCAAATTCTCAAAATTCCTCAAATCCTCCAAATTCTCCAAATTCTCTAAATTCTCCAAATTCTCCAAATTCCCCAAATTCTCCAAATTCTCCAAATTCTCCAAAATCTCCAAAATCTCAAATTTCATTTTTTAACCCTTTGAGAGTGTAAACAGAAAGGCAACCTTGAACTCTAAGCGACTCAGAAATTCATGACAGTCTATCGTTTTGGAGAAAAAGTTTTTCCTTTTCTTCTTCTTTCTCTCTGTCTTTCACCATCACCAGTCTCTATAAACATGGAGTCGGGACGCGTACGAAGCACTCGGGCTATTTCTATGTAAACATCCTTTCGTTCTTATGGAAATTGTTTCTCTCTTGCACTTTTATTCTTTTATTATTATTATTTTATTTGTGAGAAACTTCGAGTCTTAGATTCATATATATATATTGTTATCCATACAATTATTTTGTGTATTCTAATAAATATATGTGGTAATTAATAATGATTTAAATAAATAATTTTAGTTTTGTAGATGATATACAAAATTTTGGTAGTAATACTAATATTTCAATTAATGTTGAATAATTTAGTTTAGTAATTCACTTCTTGTTATTAATATAAACTTCTTATAACTAATATCGATATTATTAAACTTCTTATAATTAACTTCTCATAATTTAATATTAACTTCTTAATATTAAATAATATTCTCAATATTATTCATTACTTAATATTATTTCTTAATATATTATATAATATTAAATATTCTTAATATTAATATTCCTGCAATTGACATTAACTTGTTATAATTAATATAAAATAACATACTGATCAAATTAATATTAAACGCTTCAGGGGTGGCTATTTTGAGGTTAGAAATAATGTCGTTTGTTATTGTTTGTATGAAGTAAATATTGCATCATAATTTGATAACAAATCATATAGATATCAAGCTTAAAAATAACTTCTGTACAATTTAAGTAAGATTCGATATAAAACAATTTATATATTATATAACAAAGTATCAATATTATTGTCACTTACGACAACCTTTGAGGTTAACTGCATGGTCCTGTCATTCAGAAAGAGAAAATGGCGGAAGAAGTTGGCAGTTAGGTTAGAAACTTGCTTCTCAAATACACTTAATATTAAATTAAAAACAATGTTAATATCTTTCAAGATGAATTGTTAGTATTACGTTAAAGAGTAATAACATAAAATAAAAACAGTCATATCTTTCAAACTGAAATATATTTAATATCACACTAAAAACAATGTCGATATTATTCAAACGAAATACACTAAACAATATCATATTCTTCAACCCTAAAAATGTTGATTAAAAACAGTCGTATCTTTCAAACTGAAATATATTTAATATCACACTAAAAACAATGTCGATATTTTTCAAACTCAAATACACTAAACAATATCGTATTCTTCACCCTAAAAATGTTTATTAAAAACAGTCATACCTTTCAAACTAAAATATATTTAATATCACACTAAAAATTAAAAATGTCGAAATTTGTCAAACGGAAATACACTTAACGTTAACTTAAAAACAATATCATATTCCAAAATCTACTACAGTAGCTCAAAATGACTAAATTGTACAACAAGCTCTAATAATGTACTCTCCGAGTCTAATAATAATAACCCTTAGCGATTGATGCGACTTTAAACAAATAAATGAAAAAAAAGTATATATATATTCTTCACCCTAAAAATTTTGAAAAGAGAACATATTTTTCCCTGTTCTAGTAATTTTAACTAGAAATAGTTAGCAGTGTATCCTCCGCAACGCACGTGGCTCCCAGGGTCAGCCTCAATTAATCGCACGATCATTATCGTTAAAAATCTCGCGAGAAGACGCAGAGTGTCGTCAACGTTTGAGGACCGTTGTTCGCAGAACCGCCTCGCATTCAACCCGGTGTACTATGTTTAGTGTTTACGTCTGTACGTTTCATTAACGATAAGCTCCGCTAAGCGCTATCGTCTGCTCTCTTCATGGCTACCGTTTGTGACAACGTATTTGTGAGAACCTGATAGTCCGAATTTGATTTCAGAGAGTTTTTGGAGATTTTTGGGATTTTAGGGGATTTTTGAGTCTTCGTTAATTTTGAGTAAAAATTATATGGTTCTTGTTTATTTCGTTTGCGCAACGAACACAATGTATTTGTGAGAACCTGATACTCCGAATTTTATTTCTGAGGA